ATGGAAGAAAGCAACATTAACATCACAGTGAAGTTCATTACAGAATCGATACCAATAACTGCATCGCATGACTCAACAGTTCAACGCTTGAAGAGCATTCTTGTACCTCTCACTAGTGTCCACCCTGTTGACCAGAAACTCATCTTTAAAGGTTCCATTTCGTTGAAATATCAAAACCCATGTTTCAAAATTGAATCTTGAATTCTTGGTGATCACCTCTTTGTATTGTTTTTGTGTTGAAAGGCCGAATTTTGGATAACGAGAAGTCTTTGAGAGAATCTGAGATCAACAATGGAGCCAAGATCATGCTTGTGGGCACTAAAGTAAAAATTTTCATTTTTATTTTGTCAATTTAAACTAAAATGTTATTAACGTGTGAAAGATTTAAAAGAAATATAGAGTTAAAAAAGGGAGCGATTTCAGCTTCTTTCTTGTTTACATTGTTCAAGATTCATTTTTTTCCTGTGACGAGATTAGTTAATTTTTAGTCAAAGGTTTTTCATTTTTGTGGTAGGTTATTAAAGATTGTTAGAAGCTTAGATAAATTTCCTTATTGTTAAACAATATGGAGATACATGTACTCTTGAAAAGAAATGTTTTTTTATGTGGAAAAGCATGGTGGTTACAGGATTTCAGAGCTGATAAGGGCCGTATTATATTGTGGAAGTATACCAAGTGTATAGATTTGGCCGCGGAAAACCTGAAGGTATAAAAGTAATATCTCTTCCAAGTTATTTTAAATAAATTTTTTACCTAAATTGATTGTGGATCCTAATCATATCTTATTGTGATTGAGATATTGTATCAGAAAAACTTGATACTTTGCTTAACGGTTTGTCTGATTGTCCTGTGTAATGGAATCCAATTGTCTAATGATACAAATTAGTCAGGTCTATGAATGTCATAGATGTTCATTGCTTGAATGTCAATTTTGTAAGAGCTGTCCGCAGATATTTGAAAAAATAAAGGAGCTGCTTTACACTGTAACGTGAGTGTTGTTTTTCCTTAAATGGAGAATATATATAATTAATAAGGAAGGTTTTGAGGTTGGTAGAATCAATGTGTCAGTTTATATACTTTTGAGGAGCTTAGAGCTCTGTGTTGCCTAATATGTAGAAGTAAACAAATTAAAATGTGAGGTGTAGAATTTCATTATTATCAGAAATAAACACAAAAAAGCAAAGAGTTTTTCAAGTTTCTTCTCTTAGATGTATTCGCAAGGTATATGTTTGATAACTTTATTGTATCTTTATAGGACATTCCTGAAAAAGTTTGGCGTTGTGCACCTTTTATAAGAACCCTTAATATCGGCTACAATTCCATTCAACAAGTACCTCACCGGATTGATTGTTTTATTGAATTGAGGGTATGAAAACCATTCTATTCCAAACTTTGGTGACATCAGCTATTTGAATGACCTCCCTCTAAAAGATCATGAAAGTAAATCCTTCAATCTCAATTCTTTGATAGGAATTGTATCTTTCGGGAAATGATTTGTCGGATGAATCCATTAGCTGGCGAGGACTCACAAGTCTGAAGCTTCTACAAGTTCTATGTTTAGCCCTAAACTGGTTAGTTTTTTTTGTTCATTTATGTATAATATGTCTTGTAGATTTTTTGTCTTCTGCTTTCCTGTGCAAAACACATATATATTCTTTGAGCTATCTACTGCTTGTTTGCCTTTCATTGAAGCCTTCTATTTTGAATATATCAATTAGACATTAATCATAGTAAAGCGCTCTTCTTTAAAGCACAAGTAGAAAAAGTTGTTTGTAAATGTGGTTTGGTTATGGAGTTGTGGAGTTGTTTTTCTACTGTTTACCTGAAGTAACAGAATAAAAAAGAAGAAAGGAAAAGGATGAACTAATGGGGAGGGGAAAATTTAATAATCAAACTTGGGACCTAATGACTAGTCTCTGCACCTCCTCAAATATGCAAAATGTTATCAGCCTCTGTTCCATTTGAGCTAATTCAAATTCTATAATGAACTTATTGTACATGTATATAATTGTTAAGACTTTACAAAATCATGATTCTGTCTTTGTTATTTTACTAAATTTCATATAAGTGCATACTAATTCTATAGAGTTCTTCAATCATTGTTCTTGAAAGTCACCTGAGGTGTGAAATGTGGGATAATTTCTTTATCCCTAAGGTGCTATACGCCTGGAACCTAGCTTCACCGTGTATGTGTGCATAATATGGCTGTTGCAGATTTTTTAACTATCGTGAATTACATCTTTTCTGCAGTTTGAACACTTTGCCTCCGACGCTGGGTCTTTTGACTTCTCTGCAGAGGCTAGATGTTGGACACAACAACTTAACTGCCCTCCCAATTGAAATAGGAAATCTGACTGAGCTTGAAGATTTGGATGTCAACAATAATTGGTAATATATAGATAAATAGATGCGATTATTTTTGTAGGAAATCTTTTGTGCAAACATAATTTTGTGATTCTGCCGTATGTATGCTTCTTCCTGTCTATGCTATACATAATTTTGTGATTCTTAATCGGCTTGTTTATCTTGCTCAGGATTAGTTCCATTCCTGCAAGTATAGGCAACTGTACGTGTCTTATCAAGGTAAAATTCTTGGCGTTTGTCTCTCTCTTTTTTAATTTTAATTGAATGAAAATCTGTCTAATGCGATGTAAATTACTTGGCCGTTGGCTGCAAACTAGAGGGATAATTTCCTATCCATATAACATGAATTTGATATTTCATTTGACCTGATCTTCATATGGTGCAGGTGAATCTTTCATCAAATTACCTGTCTGAGTTGCCAGATGAATTCTGCAGTTCGCATAACTTGAAGGTCTCTACTTTCTTCTTACTTACATATTAGTTTCTTTCTACTCTCTTTCATCTGATTGCTATATCAAGGTTCTAGGGAGTTTGTAAATGAAATTCCCGCCTCATCTTGGTCATTTTTTCACTAAATTAACATAGAACTTAAGATATTATCATTGGAGGACAGTGTCTTATTATTGAAGGACAGTCAAATTCTTGCATCTAGAGGATCACCAATTCTTCTGCTGTTTGTTCTTGAGGGGGCATGAGATTAGCCATCAAGAACTGTGGCTAATTTTTATCTTGGATTTATGTACAACGTTTCTATTACTGTACAGGCTTTGGATATCAGTGACAATGCTATGAAAAGCCTCCCAAATTCTTTATTCAAGATGTGCGACCAGCTATCAAATTTGGATCTTCGTAATACAGAAATCACCAGAGATACCCTATTGCAGGTTTTGCATATTACTTATTAGAATTATCAAGTGGCCCAATTTATTCGCCATTTACTGCAACTGACATTAAAGTATTCTTCTGCAACAGTATGAAGGATGGGAAGATTTTGACGAGCGCCGTCGTGCAGAGCGTCAGAGGCGAAGAGAGGAAATTTTTATTCCTGCTGAATTTGATGAATTGGCTGATATTATATTGAGTGATCCGTATCCGGATACAGATACGGATGGTAGTTCTACAAGTTAGAGATGAAAAATCTGGCTTTTACATTTAGAACAAAAGAACTTAACATTTGATTCGACCTTGATGATATGTGAATAGTTATAATAGGATGGCTGATTTTAGCTTTGTATAGGATTTTCTCCCTCGAACATTCTGTTGGAAGTAATGAAAACTGTTGAATTACTGCCAGGGTACTCTCCTTTTGATCAACTACATCACATAGGAAGTAAGATTTGGGTTAAAATCTTAAAATTTCTTGACAAATTTGCTCCTGAATTCATGTGTTGGTTTTTGCTGGAGAACACAAAATACATGTATTCATATTATTTACCCATCATCTTATTTTTATATATCAAGATAATAATATTTCCAAAAATACGTATATTCATGAAAGGAACGAAAGAAACAAAGATATCCCAACGTATGGAAAATAAACCACTGATGTAGCGCTAATTAACACAAGCATAGTTTGTGTAAAACTAAACTTGCTCTCTGTGAACACAACCAGCAACAACACAAGCAGCAGATAAATGCAAAATATAGCAAATATATAACAACACTCAAAGTTGCTTTTGGGTGGGACAGGCTCAGCCCTGGAAAATAGAGGCAATGCTAGGTTGGCAAATGTGTTGCGATAGTCTTCAACTTTGTTTCCTCCATCCAGAACCTTGTATAGCTCCAGGCACACAAGACCTCTCGCCATTGCAGTGGAGGTTGCAATAGCAGGAATGATTCTTCCAGCAATAAACTTGGCTGTTAGCTTGTCAACCTCAGAAATGCTATAGTTTCTTTGTTGAAGCTTATGATTCTTTGCCGGAAATGTGTGAATATGTTGCTACTTTAATATGCAGGTTTTTGGCGCCAAGCTTGAATGTTGCTGGGCAGATTGCAGTTGGTGAAGATGTTTGATTTTTGAAATGTTAATGTGATGGCTTTAGGTGATAGCAGCCGGTTGTTATCCCTGTAAGATTAGGTGAAACATTAGATAATGTTTTGTATAAAATACCCCTGTTTTATGAATGAAAAATAGAGCAAAAATTCAGTTCAAATTTTCCCTCTCTACAACTCTCTCTCACGTCTGTTTTGGCCTTCATTTCTTAGTGTACTCCAGCTCTAAAAACAATCGTTCTTGCTCTCATTTTGGCAAGCCCAGCTATCATATCCATATGATAATTCGTGTCATCATCCTGCACATTCACAAAAATGTTAAGAGTTTAGATTAACAAATTAAAATTATAAAGAACGGAAACCCACGTTAATTCCCAAAAGGAATATGCATGGGAGCGGTAAATATATGCTGGAACAAGGGATGATGAATTTGATATTTAACTTGACTTGATCTTCATGTGATGCAGGTAGATCTTTCATCAAATCATCTGTCTGAGTTGCCAGATGAATTTGTAGTTTGCATAACTTGAAGGTCCCTTCTTTCTTCTTTAGTTATGTATTTCTTTCTTTCTGCCCTCTTTCATCTGATTGCTATATCAAGGTTCTAGGTAATTTGTAAATAAATTCTCGCCTCATCTTGGTCAATTTTTCATCAATTTAAATAAAACCTAAGGACATTGTTATTGGAGGACAGTCAAATTCTTGCATCAAGAGGTTCACCAATTCTTGTGCGCTAGATGTATATTTTTGAGGGGGCATGAGATTGGCCACCAAGAACTGTGGCTAATTATTGATCTTGGATACAGGCTTTGTATCTCAGTAACAATGCTATGAAAAGCCTCCCAAATTTGTAATTCAAGATGTACGCCCAGCTCTCAACGTTGGATCTTCATAATACATAAATCATTATGGATACCCTCCGCCAGGTATTGTAGACTTATCAAGTGGCACAATTCATTCCCATTTTACTGCAAGGGATAATAAAGTTTTCCTCTGACAACAGTGTGAAGGATGGGAAGATTTTGATGAACAGCGTCGTGCAAAGCATCAGAAGCAAATAGATTTCAGAGTTATCAATTTTGCTGAATTTGATGAAGGTGCTGATAAAAATTCAGTTGATTGTTAAAGATGGTGATAATTTGCTGGAAATACAGAAATATTTAGCTAAAGTTTCAAACTGTTTTTGACGCCAAGTGTTCAAGTTGCTGTTACAGGGGCAGTGGTCGAAGCTACTGTTTTTGATGAATTATTGTGAAGTTTTTATGACATGCTTAGTTGGGTTCAGTTGTGATTAAGACATGCTTTATTTGTAAGTTTATTTCAAATTCAAATGTGTAAAAATATCCACTATATTAGGTTGTTTTAGGTGGAACAGTGGACTGGTTTTATATATATATTATCCTTATTCTATGAATGAAAAACAGAGCACTCATTTCATGTTGCTACCGTCTATTTCCTTTGCTTAATCTCTCTTCTTCATCACTCTCCAGTAGAATCAACAGAACCAACAATTGGTATCAGAGCTGTAATTGATCTTAAGGGGCCTGATGCACTCATCTCCTCCTATCCAACTTCTCAACCTCTGTTACGGTAAAACCTTTTGTCAAACTTCAAATAACCTAATCCAATGGCATAACACATGGCTTCCCTTACTCCTCCAATCTTCAATGGTGAACAATACCACATATGGGCTGTCAAAATGAAGACCTTCCTAAGGGGACAAGGTCTGTGGCAGTATGTTGAAGAGAACAAGCAACCACCTGCATTGGGACCAAATCCCACGTTGAATCAAATTAGGCTTCATGAGGAGGAAGCTACTAAAGCTCCTAGAGCTTTGTCTCATATTCATGCAGTTGTAGCTGAACTTGTTTTCACAAGAATCATGGCGTATGAAACAGCCAAGGAAGCATGGGACAAGCTTAATGAGGAGTTTGGTGGTAGTGATACGACTAGGAATATGCATGTATTGAACTTAAGGAGAGAGTTTGAGATGTTGAAGATGCAAGAATCAGAATCAGTAAAATAGTATGTGGATAGGTTGATGAATGTGGTGAATAAAATCAGATTGTTGGGTGAGGAAATGACAGACAAAAGAATTGTGGAGAAAGTATTAGTGAGCCTACCCGAGAGGTTTGAGTCCAAGATTTTATCACTTGAGGACTCTAAAGATCCATCATAAATCACACTCATTGAACTGGTGCATGCTCTACAAGCTCAAGAGCAAAGGAGGCTGCTAAGACAAGAGGATTCAAGTGAGGGTGCAATGGTGGCAGGCTTTAAAGGCAAAGTTGTTCAAGGAGGAAACAAGAGGTTTGTTGGAGATAAGAAAAGGAAAGAGAAAACAAGTAATCAGTGAAACAAATCAGGTGGAATGAAGGAGTTTCCATCGTGTTCTCATTGTAAGAAGAAGGGTCACTTTGAGAAGAGGTGTTGGTTCAGACCAAACCTTCAATGTAGAGCATGTAAGCAATTTGGCCACATTAAAAAAGTTTGCAAAACCAAACCAAACCAGCCACCACAGCAAGCCCAGATTGTTGAAGTTCAACAATCAAATTCAGAATCTGAGCAACTATTTGTCGCATCTTACTGTGTAGCTCAGGTTTGCAATGATGTTTGGCTGATAGATAGTGGCTGCACCAACCACATGACAGCAAACTTGTAAGATTTTGTCAACCTGGATAGGGCATATCACTCCAGAGTTAAAGTTGGGAATGGAAAGTTTATGGATGTCAAAGGGAAAGGAGATGTTGCTATGCTGACAAGGTTAGGTATTAAACTAATTCCTAATGTCTTGTATGTGCCAAAAATAAGTCATAATTTACTTAGTGTAGGACAAATGCTAGAAAAGAATTATGTCTTGCATTTCCAAGACCAGTCCTGCACAATTCTGGACAATGAAGGTAATGAACTAATGAAGGTTAAAATGATGGGAAAAAGCTTCCCTATTAGGCTGAAAAAACCAGAACCTAAAGCCTATACTGCTAAAGTAAATGAGTCTGAGTTATGGCACATGAGATTTGGCCATTTCAACTACCATGGTCTTAGAGAAATTTAGACCAAAAATCTTGTCCGTAATCTGCCAGAAATTGAAGAAGCTAGTAGACAACCCTTTCTCGTAAACCAAGCTTGGAGAGCTGCTAAGAAACTCCAACTTATCCATACAGATGTGCGTGTGGACCTATGAAGACACTTTCATTGAATGGGAGCAAGTACTTTGTCTTGTTCATTGATGATTGTTCTAGGATGTGCTGGGTCTATTTTCTGAAACAAAAGAATGAAGTTGCAGTTGTGTTTGGGAGATTTAAGCTGCAAGTTGAAAACCAAACTGGCCTTAGTATCAAAACAGTGAGAAGTGATAATGGGAGTGAGTACACTTCAAATAAGTTTGAATCAATTTGCAAGCAGGCTGGAATTAAACATCAATTTAGTAGTCCCTATACTCCACAACAAAATGGAGTCAGTGAGAGAAAAAATAGGACTGTTATGGAGATCTCTAGGTGCATGGTTGCTGAGAAGAAATTGCCCAAGTCCTTTTGGGCAGAGGCAGTGAACACCGAGGTCTATTTACTCAATAGACTTCCCACTAAGGCATTAGTTAATCAAACTCCATATGAGGCTTGGTATGGGGTGAAGCCTATGATGGAAAATCTGAGAATTTTTAGAAGTATATGCAATGCTCTTATCCCAGTAGTTTGGAGAACTAAGTTGGATGACAAAGCCATGATAGGAATCTTCATTGACTATAGTGATCAATCCAAGGCTTATAGAGTTTATGTTCCAGAAACTAAGAAAATTCACATCACTTGAGTCTTCTTCAATTTTGTTTTCCTCCTAGTTCCATACACCATTTTCATATACTTTCACATCACTAGAGATGTGAAAGTATATGAAAATGGTGTATGGAACTAGGAGGAAAACAAAATTAAAGAAGACTCAAGGGGGCAGTTGACAGATCCAGTTGTGAACCAAAATGATGAACAAGAGGAGACAGATTCAGATGAAGATATTCCAGTTAGAGGTACCAGACCTCTGGTAGAGGTTTATGAAAGGTGTAATGCAGCCTTACTTGAACCTGCAAATTACAATGAAGCTGCTAAGTTAGATACTTGGAGGAATGCATTGAATGAGCATGATTGAGAAGAATAGCACCTAGGAATTGGTAGACAGACCAACAAACAGAAAAGTGATCCAAGTTAAATGAATTTATAAGAGAAAATTAAATCCAGATGGATCAGCTTATAGACATAAAGCAAGGTTGGTTGTTGAGGGGTTTGCTTAGCAATTTGGAATAGACTTCTCGGATACATTAGCTCTTGTGGCCAGGCATGATGCAATCAGGCTTCTCCTTACTTTAGCAGCCCAATTTGAATGGAGGATTTATCAACTAGATGTCAAGTCTGCATTCTTGAATGGTTGGCTCAATGAAGAAATTTATGTGGAGCAGCTAGAGGAATATGAAGCTGAAGGGCAAGAGAACAAAGTTTATCTGTTAAGGAAGGCATTATATGGCTTAAAACAGGTCTTTAGAGCCTGGTATAGTAGAATCAATGATTACTTAATTAGTTTGGGATATATGAGGAGCCCAAATGAACACACATTGTATGTGAGAGAGCTGGAAGGGGAGTTCATTATTGTATCACTGTATGTAGATGATTTGCTCATCACGGGAAGCAGTCCAATTCAGCTGGAAGAATTTAAGAAGCAATGCATAATGAGTTCGAAATGACTGATCTAGGAGAAATGTCTTATTTCCTTGGAATGGAGATTATTCAAACTCAACATGAGATATTTGTTAGCCAAAGAAAATATGCTAATGAAGTCCTAAACAAGTTCAACATGGACAGGTGCAGACCAATGGACACTCCACTGGTTGTAAATTTGAAGCTGAGCAAAGATGATGGAGCTGTGAAGATTGATGAGCGAATTTATAGAAGTTTGATTGGGTGTCTATTGTATTTGACAGCCACCAGGCCTGACTTAATGTTTGCAAGAAGTCTCCTCTCCAGGTTTATGAGCAACCCGAGTGAAGTTCATCTCAAGGCAGTCAAGAGAGTGTTAAGGTACATTAAGGGAAGTTCTGATCTTGGTATATGGTTTAAGAAGTCTGAATTTTTTTAGCTTTTTGGATACTCTGACAGTGATTGGGCTGGATGCATTGATGATATGAGAAGTACTTCCGGATATGCTTTCTTTTTGAATTCAGGTGCTATATGTTGGCTATCCAAAAAATAGGGCATCATAGCTCAGTCTACAGCAGAAGCAGAATACATTCCTCCTGCTGCTGCTGTAATACCCTGTATTTTCTTTGTGGGTTTTATTTAATTTTATTTATGTGAATCTAGGGGGTAATATGTAAGAATTGAAACTTTTTAGAGATGTTTTAGTAAGAAATAAGGCATGGTTGGTTATTAGGTAGTTTTGCAAGAGTACTTGTGCGAAATTGGAAGTGTGAAAATCTTTTAACAACTTTATGAAATTGATTAAGATGAGGGGTCCTTTTAATATTGTGTCATGCAAGGGTACATGCATAATTCTCTAGGGGTGAGATCATGATAAAACTTAACTTTATTTAAAGGATTTTGGGGTGCAAGATGTAAGAATCAAAGACTAAGGGATGCATGATAATTGGCCATTGCAAGATGGATTAAAGGCAATTTCTTTAGGAGAATCAGCCCACGGTTTTGGCACATTGTTTTGCCATTGATGGTTGTGAAAGTTTATTAATTTGAGATGAAGAATGGTGGAGTGGAAAAAGAGAGATAGCCGAGAAAAAGAAAAGAAAGAGAGAAGGGAGAAAAGAAGAGAGAAAAGAAGGAAGAAGGAAGAGAGAACGTTCGGCCGAAGGAGGAAGGGAAAGAAAAAGATAAATGAGGGAGAGAAAGTGAGGTGAAGAGAAGGATGATGCTTGGGGCAGCTGGGTATTTCGGGTTGAGCTAAATTTTTTGTGTGAGTGGATTAACCAAAAAGTGTTTTAAAAACTTAATTCCTGTTTGCATGTGAAGTTATTTATTTCTATTATAATGTTTTGGGTGCAAAATCTTGAGTTAAGTATTTTATTTGCTAAAACTTATCTTGCATGTTTTGGCTGAGCAAATTTTTGGGTGATAATGAATTAGATCTTGTCCCAAAGTAATAAGTTTTCATGCTGCATGTTATTTAAATATATGTATATGTCTGTCTCATGAAATTTGATGTTGATGGCTGCTTGATTTGGGGTGTGGTGGCACTATAGAGAGAGTTGGGTTCGGCTTATGTTGAAGGGTGGAGAAAATTATATTATGCAGAGTTTGGTAACGGGAAATGTTGGTGTTGGCTTATTAAATTGTTGAATGGAATATATATTTATTTAGAAATGAGACTTTATCATATATTAACTCTTTTCTTATTTAAACATATAGGTGTATAAAGGTGCATTTGGTGTTCTGTTCTTAAAAAAAGGGCTGCTGGCTTAATGGAGATAGTTTGTCTAATCAAGACTGAGTGGAATTGCACCAAACCTTTACAAAGTTGAGTTTTTAACTTGCATGTTACTTTTAAGTTATTGCCTTTCATCACTCATTGGAAATTATGTGTGAATTGAATATTAGATGTTGATTCATGGATGACGTTAGGGTTGTTGGAAATCGTTTTATTTTTAAGGTTAAATAAAAGGGTTAAACTGTCTATTGAATTTATTGTTAGGGTTTAGTCTTGAATTTTGCATTGAGTTGCCGAAAGTTTATCTTGAGTGTTATATTATTTTTGTTAGGTTGGCTTGAGCTTTAATTATGTAGGTTATTATGGAAGAAAATTTGGTGAGGCATTGTGTTCTCGGTTATGGGTGTGTAATTGTCAAAGTTGAAAGTCTTTGGGGGTTGACTGCAAAGATTAAAAGTTTTGGGATTTTAGTGAATTGATGATAAATATAGGGTGTAATAGATTTTTACATACTTTTGTATTTTGACGTGGTGAGCATTGCATTCATGATTTCATGCCTTTTTATTGAAATTTTATATTATACTTTATATATGCATAAGGCATGCATGATGCACTATTTGGAATGAAATTGGGTGATGCTGATTATTATTAGTTTGACTCTCGGATTAGAAACCGAACCGTCCCCCCTCCATCACCTAGTATTTGATATTTATCCTCAGCGGGCATGAGATGGTCCGTCCTCCCGAACCATTGTATATTCTACTAGAACAAGACGACCCTGACGAGCTCTAGCGGGATTACACCAGGCGGTTATTGCCGTGTGGATTTTGGACGCCCCGAGGGTAGACTGTGGGCGAGATTATATTTGATACCATATCATAACACCCCGAGGGTAGACTTGGGTGCTATGGTTATCCAATGATGTTCGTACCATCCCGAGGTAGACGCGGATGGTGCCACCCCGAGGGTAGACTGCGGTGGTGTAGCTTCATGTCTGAGTTAGGACTGGTTCAGATAGTTATGACTTTGGCCCCTAATGGCTAGTAGGGTGGTGATAATTGATTTATTTTATATGATAGTGGTGTGTGGTTTCATGGCATCCGAGATATATATATTTCTGTTGCCTTATCATGTAAGTGCACTAGTGTTGTGTGGCATACATTTTCATCATGTTTTCAAAGTTAAAGTTATTTTCGTATAAATTATATTATCCGCTCACTGGGCTTCCCAGCTCACTGTTTTATGTTTCCTCCCCCAGGACCGTAGATCGGGTTCGTGTGGAGCATACTCTCCACTCTAGGTTGGCCTTGACGCATGATGATTTGCATCTTTTACAAACTTTAGTGGACTCTGATACTATGTTTCTTTTGAAACTGGATTTCAGTTCCTGTTTTTAGAATAATTATTTGTTTATTTCCACCTTCTAAACCTTAAATATGCAAATGCACTACTTTTCACTTTCGTCTATAGACGAAATTGTTTTTATGAATGTTTATTTTTATAAAGAGTATTCACCTTCCTTTCGGGATCTTGAGTCTCCTGGAGCGCCCGGATCCAGTGGGATAGGGATACTCGGGAGGGGGCGTGACAGCTGCTGTAAACCAAGCCATATGGCTTAGAAAAATCTTGGAGGATTTGAGGCAAACATAGAGGAGTCCAACTGTGATCTTCTGTGACAACCAATCAGCCGTGGCAATGGCAAAAAATCCTGTCTTACACGGTAGAACCAAGCACATCAAAATTAAGTTCCATGCTGTGAGGGAGGCAGAAAGTAATGGAGAAATTAAATTGGTCCATTGCAGGGGTGAAGACCACGTGGCGAACATCATGACCAAAGCTTTATCCAAAGCCAAGTTTGAGAATTTAAGACTCAAACTTGGTGTTTCCAGCAAGATTATGAAGGAGGAGTGTTGAAGATGGTGATAATTTGCTGGAAATGCAGAAATATTCAGCTAAAGTTTCAAACTGTTTTTGGCGCCAAGTGTTCAAGTTGCTTTTGCGGGTGCAGTGGTTGAAGCTACTGTTTTTGATGAATTATTGTGAAGTTTTTGTGACATATTTAGTTGGGTTCAGTTGTGATTAAGACATTCTTTAATTGTAAGTTTATTTCAAATTCAAATGTGTAAAAATATCCACTGCATTAGGTTGTTTTAGGTGGAACAGTGGACTGGTTTTGTATATATATCATCCTTATTCTATGAATGAAAAACAGAGCACTCATTTCATGTTGCTGCCGTCTCTTTCCTGTGCTTAATCTCTCTTCTTCATCACTCTCCAGTAGAACCAACAGAACCAACATTGATCAGTTTTTGATTACAGATGGCAGTTGCACAAAGTTACTGATGAAAACCCGGCTTTTCCATATTTGACTCAACTTCACTGATATGTGAATAGTCATAACCAGATGGCCGATTTTAGATTTGTATAGGATTTTCTCCCTAGAACATTCTGTTGGAAGTAATGAAACCTGTTGAATTACTAGCAGGGTTCACTCCTTTTGAACAACTACATCACATAGGAAGTAAGATATGGGTAAAATCTTAAAATTCCGGATAAATTTGCTTCGGATTTCTGTTATTTCAGCCAACTGTAACAGGACAGGATATATTATTTCCAAAATAGTACATATTCGGAAGAAACAAAGATATCTCAGCCTAACGAAAATAACCCATAAATCTAGTGCTAATTAACACCGCCAAATTTTGTATAAAACTATATAGTTACTCACTCAGTGAACACTCACGGCCAAAAAAAAAAAAAAAAACACTATTGAAAACTACTAAATTGCTTAGCNGAAATATGAATTGAAAATTGCAAAAACTAATAAAAATTAAAATAAGAGCAAATTGATAACAAAAAGATTAAGAGAATAAATGAATAATTGAGAGAATAGAGATTAGAGAATATGAGAGAATGAGAGAATTTGAGTTGTGATAAAAATTTGAGAGTTTAGGGCCAATTTATAGAAAAAAATGGGGAAAGAAAATGACGAAAAAGACCCCTCCAACGGCTATAAAACAACTATATTTCAAGAGTAAAAGGATAATTTAAAAAAATAAATTAATTTTACAATTTTTTTAATTTATTTTTCGGCCAACCCGACTGGTTGGTCGTTAGCAATAGCCAACCCGCATGCAACCCGCCGGGTTGGCGGTCCTCCTGCAGAGAGGACAAAATAGCAACCTGCGGGCCGCCGAGTTGCCATTTTGCAACCCGGCCCGCCCGAGGGTTGCTGGCAAGTTGAACCCTCTTCATTACGGGCCGGGTTAGGGTTGACCCGCCTAACCCTGCTCATTTGTTCCACCTCTACCAACTTACTATTATGTACTTACGTTAATTATGTTAATTAATTATTAATAAATGTATATTTTTTTAAAAAAAAAAGTATTAAATTGGTAGCTGGTGGAGTCATCGATTGCTCGCCATCAAAGGAGCACTTATCTTTCTAAAATACTAATGTTTTACAGAAATTAAAAATTTTTTAGCGTTAATGACATTAATTCCCTGGAGGTTTGATTAAATTAAACAATCCCTCATGAGAATTTCGAAATAACAAAATCCTCATAAATATTAAATTTTAGATGTTAAAATAAACGACAAAAATATAATTTTGCAAATATTTATGAACTCATAATAGTATAAGGTCTGAGAACTCACTAACAGTTTACAAGTTGGAGAAGAATTTTTACTATCTTTTTAAC